GGAAACGGAGTGCAGCTACATAAGCTCATTATCATGCAATAGCATTTCCATTAACATTGTGGTGGCGCCTGTAGTGTGAGAACAGGAGAATCGCACTGACCACTGAATCCATTGACATAAGAGAAGGTTGGCTTGATGGCTTAATGATACATTAATAATAATTGTAATGTTGGTGTTAGAATTGCCATATCAGCTTTTGTGTAAAAATTAGAAACAACTTATGCTTATTCTTGTTATATGGAATTTAAGAAGAATAAGGTTTTGCAGGTTTTGTCTCTAAAAAGATGTTAATCAGTGCAAAGTCAGATGCAATGGCTACAAGCATCTTTATAGGTTTAAAAAATGTCTGTCCCAATGGCTACAAGCATCTGACTTTCGATCTGGTGAAGCTGTCATCTGTAGTGATGGATCCATTAGAAGATGTGTTTAAATGTCCAACAGAAGAGCTCAACTATCACTATAAACAAACAATTAAAATTTAAGCTTGTTTTTCCTTTCTTGTTACTTTTCTTTGCTGTTTAACTGATTAAGCTTTTCGATTTATGTTTTTGTGATTTTTGAAGTGTCATTAAAGGATTGCTACCCAACCTCTTTAAAATCAATAATTCCTGGAACTGATTAACTTAATTTTTAAATAAATTGACGAGGACAATGCTTAACAATATTTGTAATATACAATGCCAGGTTTATTAGACAACTAGATTAGGAAGCAAGCTACACTCTAATATGAAATAATTTCTGTATTGATTTTTCACATTTGTTTTACCTGTATTTTGAATTGCACAATGCATTGTTTTCTGTTTTAGAGTTGAAAGAAATGACGTAAACTTGGCCAATTTCTGCCATTTTCTATTTTACTATTTTTCCCCCATGAGTTCTTACTTACATAATCAGATTGAGCAAATAGTATGCATATTAGGCGTGCTGTCCGAGGAGAGGGCTCAGAGCTCGGAATTTAGCCTGAACCTAAAGAACTCCCCTATATCTCAAGTTGGTGAATAGGAGTGAGGAGTTGGGGTGGAAGAGGGATGCCAGAAAACTGTTGTGGGACAAATGTAAGTTGGCTGTACACACACACACACACACACACATATATATATATACAGTGGGTACGGAAAGTATTCAGACCCCCTTAAATTTTTCACTCTTTGTTATATTGCAGCCATTTGCTAAAATCATTTGTTAATTTTTTTTCCTCATTAATGTACACACAGCACCCCATATTGACAGAAAAACACAGAATTGTTGACATGTAAGTTGGCTGGAAAAATTTAAGGGGGCACACACACACACACACATATATATATATATAATTCTTACATTGGGAGGAGAAATGCAGAGAAGAAACAGAAGAGTTGTTTGTGTGTGTGTGACTGTGCTCTGAAAGTGTATTGTCTTATTTCTCCATACTTTGCTGAGGGTTTTGTGTTGTTTGGTGCGTTTATAGCCTGTTAAAACATGAAACACTGAACTGGGTCCAAATGTTGCTCTAATGTAACAAATTAGTATGATTTCGTACACAGATAAATTATATTTGATGACACTACAGAACTTGTTTTACAGATAACACATATCATGACCACATCTCTTCTCACAGCCATTTTCCCCATCACATTCAAGCAGGCTCGGGTAAACCCCACTGCTTAAAAACCTACATTAATATGTTTATTAGAAATTGAAAAAAGCACAAATGTCAGGTTTCAGAAGTGGCCATTCAGCTTAGAATGCATTACTGTCAGTCACTGAAGCCTTGCAGATTCCGAAAGCTGATTCAAAATCATCAGTTCTCATTCTGCTGGATCTATCTGCCGCTTTTGACACTGTGAATCACCAGATCCTCCTGTCCATACTCTCATCAATGGGCATTCACAGGGATTCCACTTCACTGGTTTGAATCCTATCTCAACTGGTCACTGGGGTTCCTCAAGGATCAGTTCTTGGACCCCTCCTCTTTTCCATATACACTATCACTATCACTAACACATCACTGGGACCCATCATACAGGCACATGGTTTCTCTCCTACCATTGCTATGCTGATGACACACAGCTCTATCTTTCATTTCAACCAGATGATCCAACAGTAGATGCACGGATCTCAGGCTGCCTGGAGGACATCTCGGCATGGATGAAAAAACATCATCTACAGCTCAACCTGGCAAAGACTGAGCTTCTCGTCTTCCCTGCCACTCCGACTCTACAGCATGATTTCACCATCCAGCTAGGTTAATCAACAATTAGCCCAACAAGTTCGTTCAGAAATCTTGGTGTAATCTTTGTTGACCAGCTGACTTTCAAAGACCACATTGCAAAAACCACTCGATCATGCAGGTTTGCATTGCACAACATCAGAAAGATCAGGCCCTTCCTAATGGAACATACTGAACAAATTCTTGTCCAGGCCCTTGTCATTTCTAGGCTGGACTACTGCAATGCTCTTCTAGCTGGACTTCCATCATGTGCAATCAAACCTCTACAAATGATTCAGAATGCAGCAGCATGACTGGTCTTCAACGAGCCCAAAAGGGCCCACGTCACACCTCTCTTTATCTCCCTTCACTGGCTACTGATTGCAGCTCACATCAAGTTCAAGACATTGATGCTTGCAAATAGAACAGCCACGAGCTCAGCTCCCTCCTACTTCCAGTCACTCTTATGAATCTACATCCCATCCAGAAGCCTGAGATCTACAAGTGAGTGACGCCTTGTGGTACCATCACAGAGAGGCACAAATGTATTGAACTATTGAACTATGTATTAGGCTTCATGTATTGAACTATGGTCCCAAAGTTTAATTGCATTCCCCACTCATTTTTATTTGGGAGACAGTTGACAGACAGACAGTTTGATTAAAAAAACAAACAAATTCACTCTGCCTCGTTGCAGTCCGGTGAGGGGAAGACACCAGCAGAGAGGGGTTTCAACTTCGTTCTCACCACATCAGTGGCCCAAGATGAATCTGAACCAATCAGTCATTTCATCTTTCCTGACCGTGATAACCATTTTCTGTTTGATACCCAAAACCAGTTAGCAATGCATTTTGTCTGGTATCCAAAACTGTCCTCTATCAGCCAAAGAAGAAGACAGAGGAGTCGTGAAATAGCAGGAATCAGGAGACAAAGTGACACTTGAAAAAGAGCATGGTTTATTGAATAATCTTGTGTATGTTTCAAAGCAGATATTTCATATTATTCTGTTTCGCATACACAGCACAAGCTCATTATTCTAATGTTATTATACCAAATCAAAATGGAAAATGACATTGTCCCATAACATTGTGTAATCTGGAATTTTCCCATTCTCTTTTCTTAAAAGAAAGAAAAAAATTAATGAATAAATACTACTACTACTACTAATTTAATTATAATAAAATTAATTTTAATTTCTGAATGAGTTTCCACAGCTGGCAGAACCAAATCAGACAGGATTGACATTTAAGACACAGATATGAATATCATTGCATTAGATACAAATAATCAAAACAAGTGGCATTTAAAAAACTAGTTATGCTTAAGGGTTTCTCAGATCTAACTTCTCTATTCTTTGCAATGACTTATAACCAAATGATGTCAAGGTGGTTATTAGTGTTGTGAATGTAAAGTTGGTTCTCCTCAAGTTCACATAAATGTACAGTAAAAGAGTAGGCACAGCTTTGTTCATCACAGCAACACATGAAAACTGCATACTTTTTGTTCAGTTTGATAAGTATATCTGTAAAAAAATAAATGCCACTTGATTTGAAAGTTTGTTTTATAGTCCAACAACATTCATACATTTTTACATGTGACCTAAGGGTCTGTTACATGATTGATTTTAATCCATAACTCTTAATTATTCAAAAACAAATACATTGACTTAAATACACCTCTTCTAATACAAGATTTTTTTTCCTTGAAAAACATACATTTAAAAATTAAATGATTGTATAATTATTAACAAATAAATGAACAAAACTGAAAGAACATAAAACAACATAAACATATGGTTGCTACACACACACAGGTTGCTATTACCAATTCTTAGATTCTTTGTTGCCACAAGTTTAGCCTCAAAAGGGCCAAATGAAAATCTTATTAATCTCATTAATTCAGAAGTGTATTAGTGTTGTGAATGTAAAGTTGGTTCTCCTCAAGTTCACATAAATGTACAGTAAAAGAGTAGGCACAGCTTTGTTCATCACAGCAACACATGAAAACTGCATACTTTTTGTTCAGTTTGATAAGTATATCTGTAAAAAAATAAATGCCACTTGATTTGAAAGTTTGTTTTATAGTCCAACAACATTCATACATTTTTACATGTGACCTAAGGGTCTGTTACATGATTGATTTTAATCCATAACTCTTAATTATTCAAAAACAAATACAATGACTTAAATACACCTCTTCTAATACAAGATTTTTTTTCCTTGAAAAACATACATTTAAAGATTAAATGATTGTATAATTATTAACAAATAAATGAACAAAACTGAAAGAAAATAAAACAGCATAAACATATGGTTGCTACACACACACAGGTTGCTATTACCAATTCTTAGATTCTTTGTTGCCACAAGTTTAGCCTCAAAAGGGCCAAATGAAAATCTTATTAATCTCATTAATTCAGAAGTGCTATTACTCATTCCATTCCGAGTATCACATTCCAATTTTCATGGCAACCCCAATGCATTTCAAATAATACCAAAACATCAAAGAATGGAAAAATATTGATATGATACACGACAAAAACTTAAATACTGTAAAGGCAAACCAAATTAGTTAAGTGTAAGAACTACTCCAAGTTTTTATAGTGCACTTTTTATCCTTGTGCTCTCCACCGCCTCTAACAGTCATCATTTTGCTTGTTTGTTTTTTAACCAACACATTTCACAACCCATCAGTAACCTCTAAAGCTATGTGATGCGTCAGCAATAATGAGGCTAAATGTTAACATTTTCTTTTGTTTAAGAAATTCAATTCTGGGGAAAAAAAACTAATAGAGGGATGGCAAAGACTCAAGTTATGGGTTACGATGTTTAACCTTTGCGTAAAGCTCAGAGGAGTCTGCAAACAGCTCTTCCTCTGATTGCTTTGACTCTGTTTGTTTAGTAAGCACATCTGCACTCACAATCACCTGTGCTTCTCTTGCTCTTGAAGACTCTGCCATTGAGCTCTCAGTCTTTGCCAACCCTCCCGAACAATCCTGGACCATACTGTAGTCAGCATGAAGTGAGGAGACGCTCCCGACCTCTCGTGGTTTAAAGTCAAAGGAGGAATAAATGATGGATTCTTGGTTTGCTGTGGTGGCTCCAGCAGATGACATCATAACATAAACAGGGCCGTCTTGATTCTCCTGTGGAACGACCTAAAGGATTGACAGGGTAAAATCAGTGCTGGAAAGCTCGGGTGTGTCTGTTTAAACTGTTTAGCAGTGTACTAGTTGTGTACTATTGTGTACTAGTTTCATTGTTTTGTTTTGTTTTTTTAAAAGTGTATTTATTTACTTTACATTTTTCTGAATGTGTAGTTTTTATGAATTCAGGATTTGTGGGTTTTCGTGTGTCTGTTGTAACTCACTTCATTGGTATTTTGACCACTTCTCTTAGCGCCTTCTTGTGTAGTCTGTGAAAGTTTCCCATTTTCTTTTCTAAAACAAACAAACAAACAAACAAAAAAGCATGAGTCCAACGTTAAACATAATTTATATTCTAAATGAGCTTCACAGTTAGCAAAATCAATAAATCAGACAAGATTGGAATTTAAGTCATATGAATATCATTGCATTAGATACAAATGATCAAAACAACTGGCATCTACAAACTGTTTACTGTATGCTGAAGGGTTTCTCAGATCTAACTTCTCATTTTTTTGCAACGACACTAAATGGTGTCAAGGTGGTTATTAGTGGTGTGAATGTAAGGTTGGTTCCCCTCAAGTTCATAAAAATGTACAGTAGAAGAGAAAACACAGCGATGTTCATCACAGTAACACATGACAACCACATGATGTGTCAAATACTTTGTGTTCAGTTTGAAAAGTATATCTATAGTATAAAACCATGCAAGCCTCTATTTGGAAAATATAAATTTGTAAAACTGCTTGTACTATTATATTATATATAAACGAGCTTGTACTATTATACTTTATAATATTGTACTATACTATTATACTTTCTTAAATTAAATGCCACTTGGTTTAAAAGTATGTTAGTACTGCAACAACACGGATACATTTTTAGATGTGACTTAATGGTCCATTATATTATACTAATTTTTTATCTACTGATTTTTCAAAAACATGTACAGTGACTAAACCTCTTTTATGATGAGAATGTGTTCCCTTGACAAATATACATTTATAAATGTACAAAAGATGTACAAAGAAATCATCAGATCAAATATGTTGAATCTGTTTTTCTTACTGGTTTCACAGTGCTCTTCTATGCATCATTCTTGATACCTCATATGTGTCTTGCACCTACCGTACACAGATATATGTAATGGCGCACAACAACACGACCACCAAACCCACAACAACTCCAATCAGCACAGAGAAAAGATTCAAACCTAAAAAAATAAATAAATGAGTGTTTGGAAAACCACTGATGATTCACTGATTCAATTAAGCAAGTGCTAGAGAGTTATAGCATAATCTTAAACATACACGTATACATTATTTATATCGTAAACATCAAAATAACAATGATGGCAGGGGAATGAGAATAAAAAAAGAGATTAGCATTAGCATCCCTACTTATGTTAACATTTGCTTCCCAAAGCTTAGGCTGCTGACCTGTTCCATTTGAACAAATCTAAATATATTAAAATATATTCAAATCTAAATATATTAAAATATACTGCAATTAGCTTAAAATTGAGAAAAAATTTGAAAAAATTTGAAAAAGAGCACTTAACATATTTCAAGTTGTTCCAAAATAACACATTTATTATGCACTTAGTTCAGCATAATAAAAATATAAGTACATCGATATTAGTACAACTAAGTGTATTTCTTTTTTTTACCTGGGAGCAGTTGGTTGAAAACCTTAACATTTTACATTTAAACAGACCACTAACTAGAACCACTTTCAGGAGCCATTTTTATTTTTTTAGCTCTCATATCATATATTATGGCAGTGAAACAGGATACATCTGTGCTACCTTTAAAAATTGATCAGATGAAGGCATCTCAGGAGACAGCAAGTGAAGCTAACATTGGATTCGGACGTACCTTGATGCCTTCCTATTCATTCATAAATTATTGACAGATGTTCTTCTATTGGACGAATCACAGAACTGAAACTCACATGCAACAGATGAAGGCAGCTGAAAGAGTTGACTTGCATTGCCATGAGTGTTTCTGCTGGCACACTGCAGAGTGGAAGTGTGTGTGAGAGACTGATGAAGAGTGATGGAGCTCCTCAAGCCTGTGCTGCTCAATCGCTCTTCACTGATGAACGTGTTTGAAGAGTTAGTGACAGGACGTCCAGACAGATGCCACTCCAGTTCAGGAGAGGGATTCCCATCAGCCTCACAGAAACACACAGTTACATCAGTCCTAGTACAGCTGGAATTTGAGATTTTAGGCTCATCTGAAAAAGAGAAAGAGAGAATGATATGATACATGGACATCTTATGGAGGAGAAAAGAACTGATGGCACAAATATCCTACACTGAACATGTAATGTGATGCTGTCCTGTGCTGTTTTGTTCTCGTCCTGTAGCTGGTAGGTTATAGTGCAGGTGAAAGTGACTCTGTGCTGACGGTGAGTAGCAGTGAAGTTCAGATCAGAGATGAGCTCCTGTAGTCTGCTGCTCTCACTGAGGGGGATTCTGGGAGTGGAGCTCCATGTGAGAGTTGGTGGAGGAGAGGAGCAGAGAGTCTCAGCAGAGCAGCGCAGACTCACAGAGCTCCCCTCCAACACCTCCTCCTGATCCTGCACCTCCTTCTGCTCCACATACAGCTGCACTGTGGGTTTGGGGGGAGAGTCTGGCATGGATTGAAATGTTGTTGTCTTTTAGACTACTGTCGTAAAATTTTCATTTCAGATAGTGATTGTGAAAGAGATTTGATTGTCTTGTACTAGAACAATTTACAGTTTATAATATTTTCCAGTCATGAAGTCACTCACCGATCACATGAATTGAAACACTTGTTTTTGAATAGGCCCATTTCAGTCCACCGTCACCCTCAATCCTGAAGTAATATTGACCAATGTGATTTGATCTGAGGTCATGAAAAACAGTGGTACAGTTCTTGTCTTTTAATTTTCCAGTTATTTTCCCTTTCAAGGAGTTCTGGCTTGATGTGCTTGAATTAAACACTAGATTGTTGTTCACATCAGTCCCGTTCTTGAACCACTGTCCTGTAGCTCTCTCAGTGAGGTCTTTGTCATATTGTACCTGAATCTCAAATCTGCACTTTATGATCACACAGGATCCACTGAGAGCTTCGATCTTCTGTGGCAGACTGATGTTGAAATCTCTACAGCAAACAGCTACAGTACAACACACACGATGAAAAGCATTCAAACACAAGCAGAAATAAACACTGAAGCATTCAGACACACCAACACATTTATGATCTGTTATAAACAAAATTAATGTTTTTTTTTTTCATCTTCCATTTAATTGCATTAAAGCATCATTTTATACGGGGTGAACAACAACAGCAACAGTGCAATTTACCTCAAATGTACTATTAATGTATTTAATAATAACTGTAAAATCGTGTATATTGAATGAGATCACAAACTTCAGAAAACATTTTGTGTATCAGTCGCTATCTGAATTAAAAGTTTCAGTATAGTTTCATGTATGTAGACTGAATGTAGCTTAGCACTTAAACTAGTTAATTTACATTCTCAGTCACACTGAACAGGTCACACTTTACTAGAAGAAGAAGAAGAAGAAGAAGAAGGGAATGAAAATCAAACCTTGTAAGAGAAAACAGAAAAGAATGCTTTTCTCTGCAGTGTCCATCTCTTCATTAACAGATGCTCAGTCCCTGTGGAGAAAAACACATTTGCATTTGCAAGTATTTACATGCATACATAACTAAAAAAGGATTCATGAGAATCACATATTAAGCCCCACAAATAATGCAAATTGATAGAAACAAAAGGTTTAATCAAATTTGCAAAGTAATTACATTAATAAATTGCTGCCAGTATTTCTTGGTCTTCATGCTTGTACAACGTATTAAGACATAGCATACACGTGAAATGTTTTATTTTTATGAGTCTTTCATGTGGAAATATATGTATTATAGAAATCTTGAAAGTACAGCTGACTGAAGAAGACAAAGGAGGAGATCAGATGTGTATTTGTTGTTTATTGTGTGTCACCTCTCTTAATGTCCAAAGTCTCATATTCAGAGGGTGGAGCAGAGAGCTGAAGAGACGCATATGTGCCTGCTGCTTCATTCTGAGCCTGAAAACAGAAACACTCTTCAACACCATCATCATCATCATGCTGCCTTACTATATCCACTATGAAATAAAAGACTCACCTTTTGCTTAGAGGACAATCTGGGGAAAAAAGATATATAAGTTAAGAAAAATAGGTATCTTAATAAATATTACATATTTTTGCAACAACCTTGTCAAAGTTATTATTATTAATATTATTTATTTATTTTGTAAACAGATTAACCACAGTTTTGTTCATCACACCAACTAACGTTTGGCAAGTCTTCTTGGACTTGAAAGGCATGCTAGTCCTAGTAATAAATGTGACTTAGTTCGACAACTAATGCTAGAATATTCATACATTTGTAGTATCCAAGTGCTTTTTGGGGCCACTGTATGAGACTAAAGCATGTTCTTGGTTTTTATAAGTATTGACTTTGCACTGATTTGCCATCTGAACGAGTCGATGCTAGTTGCCAAAAGTCAGTAGCAGTCTGCAGATTTGGGTGGTCCCAGTCAGTAGCAGTTTGTAAATTTCACAGAAAATCAAGTAGTGTATGATGGACACAGACTCTGGAATTTTAGCTTTAGACTTTGTATATTAGCCTTTAGAATTCCAAGAAGTTTGTTTTCTGTTCACACTGATGACATTTCACAATAGGTGTGGACTCATGTTGGGCTGGTAACAGTGTTACAGTCCTCACTGAAGTGTGTTTACAGTAGATAGATGTGTGAGGTATGTCTCTGCTAAACACTGGACGACATGGAAACTGTCAGCACAGAACGACCAGGGAAGCAGAAACACAGATCTATGGTGTTCACACATCTATCAGATGGTGATGCACGTTAGGGATGGGAACTGACAGCAAGGAGCAATCAGGAAAACACTTAAATGACCAAAATGCCCTTTCCTAATGCACACTTCAGCCTGAAGAGCTGCTGGTTATTGTGAGGCATTCAGGCCGGTCTGTAGGTTTGAGTGTGTGTCTGCTGCTCTGTGCTGTGAGTGTGTGTCTTCTGTAAAGGTTCTGGTCTGGCTGTGTTCACATCAGCGCTGCTTGTCTGTCAGGCAGGACAGGACTGGAGCCAGATTACAGCTGAAGGAGTGTTTGTAGGAGAGATTGAGGTGGGTGTTGGGTACTTTCCATAAACTGGCATTATGAAATGTCTCTTAGAAACAAACGGCTGTGAGCGGAGCTTTAACACACAGACAGACAGATGGCATGTGACCGCGAGCACAAGAAGAATCTGAAGCTCCATGTAAATACAAAATGTTATTCCTTTAAAGGTTATTTCTTAGTGATTGCTTCTTCACAGCTTCACTCTTCATTTATTCATTTAATCTAGACTCTTTCACTTGAAGGGGAAACATTCCAATTTTTAGTGTTACAATACATCCCAGCTTAAAACATAGATTCAACAGTAATTAACCAATCCTACGTTGATTCGTTTGTAAAGTGTAAACAGTTTGACTTTGTAGCACTATCACAACATTGATCTGCATGTCTGATCATCCTGACCAGCCCGACACAGTAACATCTGCTCACTGGAGTGACTTTTACCTGACTAATGACACACAGGGAGTCTTTCAAAGCAGTAATTTTCCATGCAGTACCATTTAGTAACACTACTGGAAATATTTAAGATCTGTCTGAATTGGAACTGGACTGAATCAACACTGAACTGACTAAAGCTGAATAACTATATTGCTGCCTATAGCCTATAGCTGATCGATTAACTTCACACTGAAATTGATTTGAACTGACTTGAGCTGAATAATGACACTCTTGTCTTTTAGAGCTGCTTTACAGCAGAATTACAGTCTCCATAGTTGAGTTTCCATCAATGATTCTGCTATGTTCCTGTTTATCTCTGTGAAGCTGCTTTGACACAATCTGTATTGTATAAATCTGTATTTGACTTGCTTAATAATAAACATCCTTTCTGATGTATTGCACACATTCGTTTGCTGTTGCACTGAAACGTTCCAACTCCACTCCAGGTTTTCCATTTCTCGCTCATCCAAGGCAACACACACTGAGCTCCTGGCTCTCAGTGCTCACATGTGCACTAGAATACGAGGAGTGAGACAAACATTGTGCATATTGGTGCACTTATTCAAATGATGGAGGTGAAATGTTTGGGCTCATTGAAGACCAGGGGTGTGAAGTAACGAATTACAAATACTCACGTTACAGTAATTAAGTAGTTTTTTTTATCAATAATTGTACTTTTTTGAGTAGTTCAAAAATTGTGTACTTTTACTTTTACTTGAGTACATTTTAAGTGATGTATCGGTACTTTTACTCTGCTATTTTCCTCCGTTTGTGGTCATTACATGCTTATTTTAATTGTATTTTTATCTATCAACGTGATTGGATAGATAGTAATAGGTCTCGTGACTTTCATCAAATCAAATTGTGCATAGAAAACGTTAACCGCCAACTGTTTATCATGGCTGCTGGAAGCGCATTCTTCAAGCATCAATTCAGTCGCATCTTCCT